AACTGTAAACAATTATGAAAAGAAATGACCCTAAAGCGTACTACAATCTATGCATCAAACATCATTTAATCTGAGTTACTAGTAGGTGAAGTGAATGGTGAAAAAATGCTTTCTAAGATACAAAAAACGAAATAAACATGACAATGTACTTAAAATATGGATCTGTTGGCATGAGACAACTTTTTAAACAAGCAGTGCTTTCACATGTTCAATAAATTATTTTTTATGACTTCATTTTTTCGAGTTCATTATGTTTCTTCTAAAACACTGTCTGGTTGTACATTTAACAACTTCTCATATTTCCAAATTACACCCTTTATGTTTTCACTGCACACTGAAATATTGTAGTAGTGATTTGCAATGTCAAAAAGAAAAAAACACCTTTTATTCGAATTGAAGTCAATGTCTGAAATATTTTACTATATCATAAGAATAAAACATATAGAGATGAAGAACAGTATTTAAGATCAAAAGTCTATAAAACAATACAAAATGGAAGCAGACAAAAACGGACCTCCGACACATCAGAGGTGGGATCAGGTGCCATAATGGTATCTAAATATGCAAGTATCTAATAATACATATTTTGTCTTATTTAGTCATTGTATTCATTTTTTTTTTTTGTTTAAATCTTAACACTAGTGCTAAGCCAATTACAGTCTTTGAGAACCCCATTGGAAATAAGCCTTTAAGGATCTCATGGGTCATCGTCAGGTAAATGGCTATACAGGATTTCTAAATAATTATTCATAAATTTAGACGATTTTTTAAAAAAAAATTATCTCTCTTTTATAATACAATGATATTATCTTGAGAACCTACGTAATTTTGTTGTATTTTTATAATCTGTCTAGATTTCATGTTGTCATGTTTCATTTGTCAACTTTTGTTCTATGTGCTATTTCCTAAAAAAATGAACAAAGTTAAATCAAACAAGAGCAACCCGATAATAATTTTCTTTTGTGCATTGTTAAAAATGAAGAATAAACATGCATGAATCTGTTTGTACCACATACAATATATAAAAACAATAAAATATTCGTAAGGAAAGTGTAAAGCTGTAAACCAAGGTGCATATTTACAAATGACAATTTTTTCAACACATTTCAGATGATGAAGTATTTGTTTACGGCATGGATCATGTCAATTACATTTGGTCCATACATATTATGTTCATTACAAGGTAAGTAACTTTAGTCTTACAGACGCATGCGTGTTGGTAAGATTATGGATTTTGTAATTAGAAGAGAGGTTTTCTGAATAATAATCGTACTTATTGAAAGTTGAGAGCAGGGGTATGCACTTCACATATAAAGAGGAAAACATTACTTTTTATGGGGAAAAATACAAATCTAATTACATTTCATATCATCATAATTCTACAGATTGAAAGGTAAAAAAAAAGATAACAAACAGTTGTCGATCCCAGAAACATTTATAAATAAAAATTATTATATATACATTTATTGACAACGTATTATGGATCAATAATGAATACTTAAAACCGCATATCGACTAGATAATTATATCTCCTAGCCAAGTGAGCTTGCCAGAGTCTGACACATTTGTTTAAAATATAAAAAAATTTACTAAATAAAGATGTAAATGGTCATTTTACTACAAAGCTTTACGATACATTTTAAAAATAAACTTCCCTTAAGTTATGTAAGTTATGTAGCAAAGTTAACATATCCTTATCATCTGCACATGGGGTTTAACTCCAGTTGATTCGATGGGCAAGAGTGTGCTCTACGACTAAGCTGTCTGACAAGCAAGGTGATGAAACAAGAAACACTTATTCGAATTTCTGACGCTGTAGTTCTCCTTCTCCAACATCTCGCTCTTTCTTTGATTCTATTGTTGGAATGGACGTATGAGCTTGAATACTATTCGTTGATCCCATACCATTGTTTCATTTGAAGACAGGGATCCAAAATGTAGATACACTGTCCATCTACCAGAAGCGTCATGGCACACCGCATATAGTGTTTGTGCTTCAAGAAACAGGACACTAGCACAAATTACATCACTGAGTGAGATGTACTTTTTAGACCTAGTACTGGAAGAGGTTGATAATTTGCTTGAAAAACATTCCAGCTTGAGGTATCTTTGATCGTCAATAAGCATTAAAGATAATTTTAGAAATAATATAACTAATTTTAGTCATATGTGTTATCTAAGACTTTCATAAAATGACATCAACATTGAAATAAAATTATGATTCTATTAGTTGTTAAAATTAAATAAACAAGTTCTGACATCTTTTATTTTAAGAATCTCGGCAGAAGTGTGGATTGGAGCTTTTTTGAGGTCTTCTAACAATGAAAGTATGTTAGAAAATTGTAATCACCTTGATTCCCAAGTTCCGGTTGAGATAACAGGAGTAGGTCTGGGTGATATGTTTTGTCTTTACTACAGTCGACTCAATGGAACCCTTGTTACCGGAAACTGTTCTACAGCAAAAATGTTTATATGCGTAAACAACGATGAAGGTAACTTTCAGATTTATAATATTTTATTGGCTAACGTTGTAATATATTTTTTATTAATCTAATTTTTAGAAATACAAACTAAAAATGTAGTTACCCCACTAAAGATTGCTGGTATCATTTTACCTTTGGGGATACGTGTTTTTTTTTTAACATTTATAGCGCTTTTGAATGAAAAAAAAATACAATCCTATAAACACTGCACAACTAATATTTATTCTATTCTGTTTTTTTACGACTTGATATATTTTATAACTTATATGAATATATTTACATTTTATAGATCCCGGAGAATGTATGATAAACTCAACAACATCGGCAATTAAAAATCAAATTCCATTTAAATTGTGCTTTAAACAATCTTATTATCCCAAGAAAACCTCAAGAGAGTGTGAATCATTTTGTATGGAGGAAAAGAGTTGTTATACATTCATAAACATTCATAATTGTACATTGTACGAGTATACCAAAGAACAACACTGTTCCATTGGACGACATCCTCCGTCAAAACTTAGACACAAAAGTACGTATTGTCATGCATTTCTGGATTATTATTATTTTAACATTGAAATCCCATATTTCATATATCCTGGTATCAGCATACTAGAGATATTAGTCTATGGCCGAAATGTCGAGATAATTTTCAGTAAGCCAAAAAGGAAATGTCAATTCAATATTTAAAAGAGTTTGAAAATCATTCGTAAGTTATATAAATTTCTATAATTATACTTCCTGAGTGAGCCCACCATATCTTATTTCAATATTTTAGGTTTCTTCCTGTACAGCAGTTCTAGCTATCCAACATCAAAGACAAATCCGCTCTCTAGCTGGTGTCCAGGTATGTAACCTGTATATGCATATTTAAAAAAATATTTCTACGATATTTTTATATAGATGAACTAATTATAAAATGAACTTATTATGAATGAAATGAAACCTTTTTATGTCTTTAATTCCTGGATAGAAGACAAAATAATAATAAAATACTGTGTTCACGTCATTAAAAGATTTTTCCAATAAATATTGCATGCATTTACTGTTTGTTTACAATGAAATATTTTTTTTTAATTTATTAATGAAAAAAGATGAACAGTAAACCTTAACAATATAAACCCAATAAGCAGAGTTTAGAAACTTCTTGTACGTTCAATAGTTTTTAATTAAAGTAAAAAGTTTTTTAAGTCTTTAAAACAATTGATGATAAGAAGATGCCTTTTACAAAGAAGCTCTTTCATCGGTATCAAAATGATATCCATGTCAGATTTTAATTGCTTAAAGAAATATAAAGAAGGAATGCCTGGCCGAATTTCCACCTAATGAATGTCCAAGACATCTCTTTTAAAATTCATTTCAGCTTAAAAAAACTGATATAAATTCTGCATTATTTTGATTTTTTTACCTACGGGTATATAGTATAAGAAGTACATGTATCGACGGGAATATATTGCAACTTTTAACGTGAAAGACTTTGATGACATTGAAAAAATAAAATACTTACCGAGAAGCTGATTTCATTTTTCTGGAATCAATTGTCTATAGCAAAACCTACCTTTACTGTGTGGAATGGCCATAAAATAAATGAAGGTTAGGTTCATAATTTGTTTTTATTTTTAAAAATAAATAGCTTACTGCCTTGTGACTGACAATCTTCGTAATTTGAAAAATTAATAGCCATTCTCTGTAAGCATTTAAACTCTTATATAGGGAGTGTGGCACGCATGGTCTTGGATTTTTATGAAACTTGGCACACATTCTTATATTGATGTATGAAACTAAAATTCATAATAAAATGGTTGCTATGGTCCATGGTTACCATGGTAACCAACATGCAATTTTCATGGCCTAAAAATCGCTAAATTTTGATAAAATTTTTTGAAAAGCCTGGTATAAATTTTTGCGGACAGTTGGGGAAAAATGAATGCATCGGTTTGAAAGTCCATATATAGTTCTAATATAAACTACAAAGAATCACTTGGTATTCATCTTTAGTTTTCATGTTACCATGGATACAAACTTATGCTATTTTTTAAAATTCCAGACGAGGATCATATGTATATACATTCAGTTTCCACATAATTACCTGAGTATTATAAAATGGATTAAAAACAAATTTCAATATTTGGTAAAAAATAGCAAAAACAAAGAGAAAAAAAATCAATTTTTATGACTAATGGTCAAAGGTCTAGGTAAAAAGGGCAGATTTAGATGGAAATTTAAGGAAACAAAACGAACTTTTTTCTGTGTCATAACTTAAACATCGTACTTGTGTTTCAAACAACAAATGAATAAACAAAATTACAGTTCTGGTCGACAATATCTAGCATCATATGAATGTGTGCCCATATTGACAGAAGGTCAAAGCTCAAGGTCATAATGGTATATGAAGAACTACGCACGCTAACTCTCAATTCCCGCCTACATTTTGCGACCATTTTATTCAATATTAATGGCAATTTAGCAATAAAATCTTTGTTTAATACAAAAAACAGTTCAATGGTATTTGATTCATTATTTTAATACCAGTACTAAATAGTACATTATCCCTTATTCCAACTCTTGAAATAAGGGGGAGGGGTGGGGGAGTCGATGATATTTTCCATTGAAATCGGACTTTCAAGCATCACCATATTTTGAAAAAATCTTGGATATAATTAAATGTTCCGTATATTTTTTCTCATTTTTTACGCAATTAAGTAAAACATATATATATATATATATATAATATATATATATATATATATATATATATATATATATATATATATATATATATATATATATATATTATTAAAATACACTGTAAATCACTTTGAAATTGGGAGAAATTAGGCATTTATTTTCGTTTTTTGTCTATAAAAATACCCCCCCCCCGTCTGTTTTAACATTTTATTATCGTGGTATATCTTAAGAAACCTACGATCTTTTTCAATTTGAGTTTATACCACAACTCGCTTTGGCGTAAAAAGACCCCTATTTATTTCTAGGTCAAAAGGTCAAGGTAAAAAACATTGTTTATATGTAAACCTTTCATTTCCGAGCGATATCTCAAAAAGCATTTAGGTAAGCTTTTTTATATCATAACTCCCTATGGTCCCGCCCGCCCCTCTTTAAGTGTCCCATCCCCTACCCCCACTACCCTCCGACACCCTCCTCACTCCTCTTAATCTACACAAGTTCTTATCTCCTTAAGCAGGGGACACATATTCTTTGAATTAGCTTTTTAATAATGCATTTATACTCGGGTATTCGGAATACTGGTATTGTAAATGTTGTATCCTGACCTCTATCCCGTATTATATTAAATGTATTTTATTGAAACTGGTATTACATTCTCCCTTTAGCTTGATGCATAATGGGAAAATGCTTATAAGTACGGTTTTCAGGTTCTATTGATATAAAGGTAGGCAATTAAGAATATTATTGAGTGCAAGACTTCCTGTACGTAGAGAATTGTGCTATGAGCATGTAAAGACACTCTTTTGTTGTTTTAGTAAACTAATTCCTTGCTCCTAAATGTACATTTTTAAACCATATTTAACAATTCGAACTTTTCAAGTGACAGTTTGTGCTACGTCCATGTGATTGCAACACCACGGTAAATTTGACGAATGTTTACTTATATAGTAATAATATACGGGAGTGATATTGTATTTCCGTGCTTGAATACTAGTAACCAAAAAGTCAAATACAAATGCATTCCCACTTGCGTTTGCGCTAAAATACGTATGCGCCAAATTTTCTCGTTTTACAGAATAAGTGAGGAACGGATTTCGTTAATACTTCACTTATAAGTAAAGATGAGCTACATAGCAGTGAATAGTTCACATATACCTCACTTATAAGTGAAGATAAGTATTGTATGAGCAAGCATAAGTGTGGACTTAGAATTTTTTCCCTATAGTAGACTTCTCTCATGGAGCATTATGGGTATTCAAGGTAACCAATCAGAAAGTTTGTCTCTGCAGAGATGAGCAACAAGAATTTGAAACTAAGTTTCTGTCTGTGAAAGGATGTTGTTGGAGATTTCAGATTTATTTTGAGTATGCCTTCACATCAGGTACAACAAGTAGGTTCTATTTACATAATCTCTCTATTTTGACTTCCTTTGCCTGAAATTTTTAATCAACTGACTCAGTTGCTGTCAGATTTCAAAAATTTGAAGAAGCCTCAGGTCATTAAATCTTGTTGCCTTTTTGTCCATCATTCTTGTTTGTAAACTGAATTAATATGTAAAGTTTGCATCATCAAAGAAATGTCATATCAGAAAGGGATTTTTACATAAAATTTTAGCTTGATTATTTCATCTAAAGTGCAGATACATATGTATATGTAAAAAAAAAAGCTTTGAACATATCATGCATCCTCTGCATGATTGGAAGTTCTGTTCTAAATTAAGATCGTACAGGTAGTGTTGTACTTCACTTATTAGTGACTTATAGATGACTCATACTTGATAAAGTATGAAGGCTTAATGCTTGACTTATAAGTCACTTATAGTTACTTATAAGTGACTGTACTTGCATAAAGCATAAGTGGCTAATACGGGCTTATAAGTCACTTATAATTCCAGCAGCTCATTTGCATATAAAATCCTAATTATTAACATATTAGTCATTTATAAGTTAAATGTACCAGTGACGTGTAAGTCCATAATAAACAACTTATAAGTAAAAGAATAAATCACTTATAAGTCACTTATCAGAAATTTCTGTAAGGGCAGTAATTCTTTTTAAAAAACAAATTCATAATACTAGTAATTCTGATATTTCAAGTTTATCACGAATCACGTTTTGAAACTCCTTAGACCTTGAGGCTAATGCTTATGTACAGAGCTGATTTCCTGCACTATGTAGTTTAGTACATTTCACCATATCTCACATATAAATTATTCTTTTGCATGTAGGAAGTAAACAGAGGCTAAAATGTGTATGCACATTAAATATAAAAAGCTGTATGCTTACAATATGTAAACAACTTCCAGTCATTTTTGTACAATGATTGTTTTATCTTTCTCACTGAAGAGCTCACAATTATCAAAGGGAGATAATGTCTGCTATTTGAATCAAAGATTATAGAGAGAATACCAACAAGGTTTTAACATGCCTTTTAAAATAAGATGTTATATTTCTTATTTCTGTGAGTAACATGAATTTAAGTAGCCGCATTTCATTAAAAAAACTTTCCAAAATATTGCATTTTTTCAGGAAAAAATCAACTTTAGACACCGTTTCCATGGTAACTACTCAACATTCATATGACCTAACTATATCTTTTGAAGAAGTTTATGAGGTGGTACTTTCCAGCCAAATTTGAAAAAAATCTGTGACTATGCGTGCCACAAAAGTTTCAGTGGTTACAGAGAATGGGTATTAATATACTCCCACCCTTTCTAGTAAATAAACAAAAAAACTTTCTAGTACAAATTGGGTCTTACATCAGCAATGGTTTTTGCAACACGAACTATCATACTATCCCTAAAAGATAAATTATTCTTTGCTCAAAATTAAAGAGGAGTTTGAGAATGAATACAATTTGACATACAGACGAACCAAGATAATCATATACTCGAAGTCTCTTATTAATGTGTAAAAATCATTAGATTCAGATTAAAGATGGTCGAGATTTTACAATTTGTCAGGTTAATTGTACGTCAACCGTTATCGTTTTATGCAATTACTTGTTTATTAGCAGTTGCTTATCCACAGCTTGCCAATCAATGTTTTCTAAAAATTGGGTTTTATAGCGTATCATGGGCAGCATAAAGAATTCAGCGAGCTATCCTTTTGTAATGAAATTCGAAGTTCTAACTTGTATAAATACTCTTGAGACTATATAAATGCTGACATGTCACTTTAATTTTTAATTTAAACATTCATTATTAATTATTTGATGGTATGAGGAACATTTTTATTTGGGTAAACATTTTATCGAATTTTAAATATGGATAAAATTATGGAAACCCTGAAGTTTAAATATGCCATTATAAATAATAAAGCGGTTTTATAGCTTTTTATATAAGGGAAATGCTCTTCATACCGAAGATCCATAGTTACTTTTCTCTTAAAATGAGAACTACGAACGTTAACTCTCAATTCCCGCCTACATTTTGCACCTACTTAATTCAATATTTATGATAATATGCCCATACAATCTTTGTTTAATACAAAGAACAGTTCATTGGTAACTGATGAATCATATAAATATCAGCGCTCAATAGTTAATCATTCCTAATTCCAGCTCTTGATAAAAAGGAGTAGACGATATTTTTCCATTTAAATCGGACTTTCAAGCATAACCATATCTTGAAAAAAAAAGTCTTGGATATGACTAACTGTTACTTATATTTTTTTCTTATGTTATACGCAAATAAATTAAACACATGTACATGTTAATAAATAAGATACAATATTTTAGTTGTAAATCGGTTTTAAATTGGTGAAAAATTTTGTCATATTTATCTTTTAACATACCCCCCCCCCCCCCCGAAACACAAAAAAAGTTTCGATTTAAATTTGTAAAATGACAGTCCGTGTTACCTGTAAAAAGGAATCTTTGTTTCACGGGGAGGGGGGAAATGTTTTAAAAAGAATTTCTGTTTTCCGTTGATTTCTGTAGTGAAAAACACAATTTTTTACAAAAGTATAGAGTTATCTCTCTTTGTTTTCCCAAAATAAGTAATATTTTATGAAAATCAATATAAATATCTGTAAAAATATCAAAAACCGTTTGAATATGTACGCTTGGAGAATTTCAAATTCAAATTCATATTAAAATTAATTTTTCACAAGTCTTCCCCCATGTTTTCTTGAGAGGAATATCATTTGTTTTTCATCAAATGCAGGCAAGATTACCTAAAGAGAAGATTTTCTAACCCTGGCTTGGGGTTCATATGCTTTCAGTGCTCATTTAGTTGAAAGTTTTTTGTTTCACTGTAAACCTTGTCAGTCCCCAATGTCCTAGCTCATTTAGTATATCTTATTGCTTGCCTGTATGTGACAGCTGTTAACTTTTGAAAATTGACTTGGGGGTATGCGGGAAAACAATTAATGCTACCGTTCGCAGTTCTTCATCTCTCTTAGTCAGATTAACCCTAAATGAAAGTTGTTTTCTTTCGTTTAAAGACCTAAATTAAATTGCAATTATATTTTTATGTTTTTGGACGCTGGACTTATTAAATATTCATTCATATTTGTTGACAGAGGTGACCGAGAAGGATATTCAAGAGAAAATCAACAACATTCAGAAGAATCTGACGATCAATCGAAAAGAAACAAGACAATATATCCGCACCTTGACAAGTGCCCCGGATGAGAGACGCTCTTCAAGGAATATCGGGATCGTAGGTGCGTTTGTAATTGGTGCAGTGGGCAGCTTTTTCATCCTTCTCGACTGCCTCAATTTTATCAAGGGGATTCAAAATAATCGAGTTCTCAACATTAATAAATAACATTTTTTTTGAAGAACAATACATGAAGTGCAAATGAATCCAATATGATCGTGTGAATGTGTGATTTGCAGTTTAAGGTATTCAATCCCTAATAGGAACAAATTCAATAAAAATTGAATACATAACAGATGTGTAGGCATTGCATACTCAGTTTATTTAGACATACTTATCATTTATTACTACTAGTATGTATAGTTGGATGTGCTCTTATTTTTAACCTTTAATTTTGGTAAGAGTTATCTGGCCTTTTCAATCAAAAAAAATTAAGCCGGTAAAAAAATGTTTTCAATTGTCATTCTATTTTTCATGTTTCAATGCATCTTTCCAGCGCAGTATTTACTGATATTCAATTTATTTGAATTTTTCTTTTAAAATAAACCGCTTTTCCCCACAGACTTCAATGCAATCCTTGTTAATCAACTTCTGCTTAATTAATGATTTTTTTTAACTTTCTTGCGAGCAATCCTTTCTCACTATAAAATGCTTTAATAAAATATCAAAGTATTATGTACTTGACGGACATTTAAGGGTAGAGAATTTGATCCTATTAGGGATGGAAATCCTTAATATATGTACAATGAATACTGCGTAATCCGACACCTGTGTAACCTGACACACTGTGAATACCGACGTTTAATTTCGTTCCCGTTTTACTGTTTTCCATGTTTATTTACACTGTGTAATCCGACACACTGTCTATTCCGACACGAAATTTGTCTCAGAGCATGTCGGATTAGACAGGTTTCACTGCATTAAAAAAACTATTTTACACAATACAATTTATTTTCTTTACCACTTTTATATTTCTTAAAGACAAAGACACCAATGCTTACGAGATTCTAAGACAACCTATATTTGTCACTGACACTTAAAAATCTTTCACACTTCCTTTTTCGGAAAAAATAAGACTTTATTATTTAGTATTATATAGAAATACTCAAAAAAGGAGTTTGCCTTGGGAATGCATGGAAGAATCATCCATATTCACACAATCAAACAAAGACATGGATGCAAATATATAGCAGATTTTACAAAGCCGATAACATTAAAATTTCATTATCTTAATTTATCGCACTTACATTTATGTATGTATTTTCTTATAATAAACAAGAGATTGAGGTGAGCATTTGTATGAAAATCCTAACCTACTGTCTTAACAAAATCCAATTGGATGCATGCATTTTGCAGTTAATATCCGGCTTTTGATGCATTGTTTGGAGTCCTTTGTTTGAAACGTTGCGTTTTTAAAATATTTTAACAATCATTCAAAAATTCATTTTGTCTAATAACTTAGTTAAAAAATGCAGTCAGGATTTATAAAGCAGGTACATATTCTTTTTCCTTTAAATATGTAATAATTTTGTTTATGTAATTTTTCATTCATAAAAGATAGATCACAGCAGTATTGAATTATAAGACTACAATATATTTATAAATGTAGTCAAATGATTTCGTAGACAACTAAGCAATTACATCTATTTTCCATTAAAATTTAAAATATACTAATCATAAGACAGCATTGTATCATGCAAAACTATGGGTTTTGTAATTTAAAAAAAAAATTAAGCGTTTTTTTTTTTAACTTTTCCGATTTGTCCATTTATTCTAACGTAATTAACATCACAAGATTCACAGGTCTTTGGTGTGATCAGTCAACAGGGAATGCTTTCTCCACTTATGGCATCTGCTCCCACCTGCACCTGCTTCCACCTATGATGTTTTAAAATTATAGTTTCTTGTAGACTGTGCTCTACTTTTGTATTGTTTCAATAGGTTTTTGACCTTGATTACTGCTCGTTTTTTAACATTTTCTTTACGCCTGCATGGCGTAGTGGTTATATTGTTTCTTTAGATATTCTTCAATATAAGAAATTGATCCTTATGGTGCAGGTTCGAGTCAACTTCCAGGATGTGGAGACCGGCCCTTCGAAGGTTACCGTATCAACCGTACAAATAGTCAAGTTCAAATGTCCATTGGAATAAAGAGAGCAAACACGAACAACAGAGGTGGGATCAGATGCCATGATGGAGTAAAGAATCCCCTGTCAACCGGTCACGATCGGACTGACAAGTCAGTGCGGAAAATTTGTATTGAAAACGTTTATCATTAGTCGACTTAATGATTGATTGTATTTGCTGGTCAAGTAGATCATTGTCATCTAAAGAACTTACGAAACATTGACTTTTAACATGACTGTCCATATTCTTATTTCATAAACTTATTTGTCGATAACTTTCCTTGTTTCAAAGATATTTCTTAATATTTGAATTTCTAATGTCTTTGTACGTGATTAAATTACAAATAGCTAATGTACTTTATTTCCTCATCAATTAATGCACTGGTTCATTGATAGGCGCGGTTAAAAAAAAACATGCAGGGCGGGACAAATAGACGAGAGGCGGGCTTGTAGCACGTGGATTGGCGGAATGAAGAGCCTGTAAATATAAGGAATAACTGTCAGAATAACTGTCAAAAATTTTTATGCATAAACGCCGAAGGCGTTTTATGCAAATCATCACGCAAGCCAAGCGATTGATCACATCATGAAATCAAAAATAAGGCAGTTATTCCTAAATTCAATCAACTTGGAGACATAACCTCAATAGTTATGAAGGTAACATGGTATATTGCGTCAAAAATAACGGAAAATGAGGATAGAGAAGTTAAAGTCTACAAGTAACTATCGAAATATGAAACTGATGTGTTGGACTGGGATATTTCTGTATTTTGAGTTCAGAGTGATACATCAATTCAAGGTAAAAATGAAAATGATTATTGTAAATAGGAAAACAACGGTGTCTATGTATTTTAATGTTGAATTAATTGAATGTTGTGGATAAAGATCTTCGTTTCGTGTAGAAGTTTTTCGAATATACATGTACTCTGCTTCTTATGAGAATATGCCCGCAAACTTGGCACAGAATGTATACCCGACCCTTAGTGAACTTTTCAACTCTGATCTGATTTGTGCTTTTTCTTGGCAGATGTACTCAGGTGAGCGATGTGGCCCCTGGGCCTTTTGTTTTCAAATTACTGTAGATCACTAAATTTTCGCTACACCTTAAATTCGCGAGATAGTCATTTCATGTAACTATTAATTAGCACGACAAAAAATTTTCACGAATTGTGGTTATTGTTCTTTAAAATTGCAAAGAGTACTTATATATATGCGATAAAGAAATTTTTGCGTTCACGCTGTCTCGCTTAGTTACCCAAAAATAAAGTTCTTGTGAATAAAAAATGATTTACCGTAGAACAAACCATACTGCTTTGACTCTGTAGGATCACGAAATCCTCTTATGCGTTTGCTTCTCACATACCTCATTCAAGAAGCATTGATATAATTATAATATGAAAAGTGGGCAAGGTTACATACATCAAATTCGGGTTTGAATCCCACCGAAGGACTTGGAGACCGGTCCTTCGGATGAGACCGTATAAACTAAGGTTCCGGGTCGCAGTAGTTGCTGGCTCGAAAAAGATCCCTCTCTGCTCAATGGGTGCCGAATATAGGTTAAAAAATGAAGCCATCCACCGGCAAAAATTCTCCAGAGGGAGGTTTAACAATATACAATCAATCAATCATACATCAAATTAATTAATTTAATAATCAACTCCCATCAGTACTTTGATTAAGACAGCCTATGTGATTTTTCTGATTTTTCACCATTTAGCGTTTCCTCATAAAATTTACATGGTTTGGTATGTTTTTGTAAAGTTTATATTACCCTGTTAGCACGAAGCTAACACATTCTGAAATTTGTGTTAATCTGTAAACCTTTACTGATTGTGATTTGTCCATATTTTTAATTTTATTGAAGAATTAACTAGTATTTTGCAAGTCTATTTTCCTTTCCAAGACTTAGGAGAAAACAACTAAAGAATTATCCACTTTTCTAAGCCTGTGTGATGATATTAAGTCTCCTTCAAAGGAAACAATTATTTGTATCATTTGTCCTGAAAATTCATTTGCAAATGTTTTGGAAATAAAACTAAAATCGCCTCAACACCTTAATATCAACATCAAATCGTTCACACAAGTTCTTAATTATTCATTTCTATAATTTTTATGAAACAGGCAAAAGCAAATATTTTTATAAAGTTTATTGAGTGGTAGGAAGGCTTATATAAAGACAAGGTGTGTACATGGAAGTGATTACCTAAAACATTATGAAACATGATAAGTTTTGTGAACTGGGTTCTTTCTCTTTGTTCTCTTCTCAAAATCTTATCCAGTCTATGTTGTGATGGATCTAGCTGAGTTTTGTATATACTAGGAAGAGTGGGTGGTAGATAATAAATATATTTCAGTACATAGCTAACTTATAATAATATAATATTTTCTCAACTTTCGCTCGGTTGTACGTTGTTCATCTCAAATTCTAGTTTGTTTGTTTGTTTTTTTTTTTTGGCGCCTTTTTTCATTGACATTCTACCTTTTCATTAAAGATTACTCAGTCAGAAGAATAATATTTATCTGATACATAATGTAGCATTTGGAAATACCTGCAAATCAATGTCTTCCTTCACCCCCGCTCACTTAATGTAATATGTTTAGAAAAACATATTGTGATGATTCTTGTTGGCTCCTTAAATTAGTACACTTATTATTATTCTCCTTGGGTGCTTACACTTTCCATGATTCTGGTTGGTTTTTTACACGCATAACGATTCTGGTTGGTTTCTTACACTAATTACGACAATTCTAGTTGGCTTGTTACAATTGCGGCAATTCTGGTTGGCTGTCAAGTGTCAACCCCGCACGTTTCAAAATAATCCGGTCAACTGTCACGGTAGCCAAGGGGTATCTAGAGTGTCGGTTGGTTTCGTAGTTGGGAGGATTGGATTTGATTCTTATTTGTTGAGCCAAGTAATATCTGAGACTTTAAACTTCATTCGCTAAACTTCCGATTATAAAACTGAAAGTTCTCCGAAAGTTATTTCTTTGATTTGCTGTACAAAAATTAATACTGCTGAACATATTCTACTCAATTCATAACACAATGAGACATTATAATATAGACGTTCGCTGTGTATAGTATTTTAAACTTTCATTCTTTATTTTAAAAAATCTAAGAAAAAATGATTAAAATTTATCTATTCCGACATAGAAATGAACTTTGTGTAAACTGTATCGGAAGTGACTGATTGAAATGTATTTCTAACAAGTTAATATGCATACATATGTTTGTACCTACGTATCCATTACACGGCCTTCCTGTCAGGTGTAGACTATTCCCACCTTCCCACTCTTTCCGACATAAACGACCTTCCCTAGCACCTCGTTTATTGACCTTTGCCCCACATTTACTGTTCTCTCATCTGGTATCATGTCTTTACCTAGAATATTAGTGGGTTTTAATAAGATCATCTATTGGCTTTTGAAGTATTATGTTTGTATGTTGTATAAATATCACAATAGAAAGTTATTTTTATTTTTCAAGAAAATCGGACGATTGTACATGTATATGCAAGGAATTCTTTTCATCTTCATCCAAACACTTAAATGAACAAATGCCCTTAAAACAATCAATTGTTTGAAAATTTAAGAAGGTACATTAATCAACAATAATATGTGTACTTTGGTACACATTGCATTGCTATGCTAAACAGTTTGCTATTTTTCAGGAAATTTTTCAAGCTGATTTTGTAACTACAATATTAAGCTACTCTATAGGACTTTTTGGATGGGATAATTTTTATGATCAGTCAGTTCATGTCCGTCACTAGGTTCAATCGGTTTTAATCTTCACCCGTTGGATTCCCATGGATAGAAAATGTACAGTGACTTTCACCCAATTTTATGATTAAAAATCAATGTCAGAATCTTCTCTATCTAAAATCTTTCCTGGTGCATTTTTCCCCTTAGCCCAGTTGTACTCATGTTTACTCATGTTTTAGTGCATATTAGTAGATATTTAATCTGACCTTGAACAAATTTCTGTCATGAATTATCAAGCTAAGATTAGATTTTTTTGCTGAAACAAATACTCGTATGAATTATTTTCTCTCCCTTTCCTCAAGCGGCTCAATTTTATCCTTAAGAGTGCCCATTAAAGATAACAAATAGTGATTTATCCAATAAAATAAACTACCGGTACAAACAATACAATTCTGTGAACAAGGTTAGATTACGGATCCTAGAAATTCAAAAGGAAGATTAAAAAAAAACTCCTTACAATTTGCATGAAACAAGTTAGCATAACTACGAGATGGAAATAACGAACAATATTCAATATCAAAGTCCGTAAAACAATACGAAATAGGAGCAGAGCAAACACGAACCTCTGAAATATCAGAGGTGGGATCAGGTGCCATGGAGGAGTGAGCATCCCCTATTGGCCGGTCAAACCCACCGTGTGTCCCTTGTCATGATCGGGAAATAACGGAAAAATTCGTCGTCAATTCAAAATATGAATAATGGACTAACAATTTATATGAAAAACGTCAGTCAGTAATTGACAATGATAAATTGTATTTGCTGACAAGATCATTGTATCGACCATAGAACTTTCGAAAAGATGACTTTAAACGAGACTGCTGATATTCTCGTTTCATCAAATTGCTTGTCAATAATTTACTTCGTTTTATAAATTGTTCTTATGTAGAGCATGCTCTTGCGTATCGAATCAACTGAGATATATACACTCCGTATGCAGGTGATGAAGGTTTATTGCTGCATAAGTATGGGAAGTTGACGATAGAAAAGTCTACCATATAGCTTGGTTGTTAGATTACCATTAATGTCTTTTTCAAGTAAAATATCCAAGTATGAAACAGATGTGTTAGACTCTGTGGTATCTTTTATCTCAGTCTCTCCGGAATATATGGCATCGACGTAGGAATGGAAATTACCATTGTTAATTGATAATTCGTCTTCGATATATCTAAATGTCGAGCTGAAGACCACAGCAATTGTTTTCTTCTTTCATGCATAAGATTTTGTACAAATTCTGCTTCATATGAATACAAAAATATGTCTGCTAATAAAGGAGCGAAGTTGGTACCCATTGGAATTCAAATAGACTGTTGGAATACCTCGTTTCCAAAAACCACATATGTAGATATTGTCAATCAGAAACTCAAGCATCTCTTTGATGTCAACTTCAGAGTACTTGATATACCTGGTAGGTCAATATTTTTTTCTTTTTCTCTTTTTGGTCTTATTTAGCCCAGATTTCCCTAAAA